GGAAAACTGGCTATTGGTCTGCATTCAATATTGAAAAATATAAGTTGTGAGAGACCGGTCATTTGACCGGCCGCGGTAGGAATAGGTATACGTGAAGTGTCGGTAGGAATAGTGTTAAAGTTCGCGCGAGTGACACTTATTACTGAATGACTGAGAAAGCGTTTCATGACGTTAAAAACGATTTCAACGATGGTTAAATCACGAATTTTCGTATCTATTCATTTGTTTATGAAATTCATATCTTTGCTCGAGCGTAAACATGCGCACGTGAACTGTTTGGATAATTACGTTAATTCTTAGCCAAGTGTGTTAACCAACTTCGTTCATAAACGATAAATAAAAAGGTATGACAATAATATGAAAATATTGATAATAATTTCTAACATTATGTATATTTATTTTGAAAAATTGAATGATATGACAAAAATCTTCAATACAAAAATATAATATTAAATTGGCTAGCGTAATTAATTGGAATAACAGACTCCGCAATTACTTGACTATGCTTGATTTACTGTAAATTGTAGAACGAGAAATATTGATATGAGCACAATCGTGTAATAATAAATGAATTAAAGTTAAAATCAGCTCAATGAAATTGGTATATTTTTTAGTCAATGTTATCATGTTGACTGCTATGCATAACTTGTGTAAAAGCGTAAACTAATTATTTTATTAGCATTTGAAGAAAAACTATATATGACTAGTTAGAGAGAAATTGATAAATCAACTTCGACATAATACTTCGAAATAATTTTGTACCAATTTTGGTATGATTCTTCAATATAATTTCCTTGGTTTAGAGAAAAAAGTAAAACTCAAACGCTTATTTTCCGAACCAGATATATGATACATGGACGATAACAACTTCTCAATAACTACGTGGTCAATCGATTTAAGATTTTGCACGAGTGTTATACTCTGAATTAATTTTGTTCCTAATTTAAAAGTAACCTTGAATTTTTATGTTTACCTAGCGACTACCTTAAAACCAATTCATGTTTTTTCTTGCATTATTTCACGAATTGTTTATTTTGCGAATATTTAAAATAAGTAATTCTATTGCATTTTTTTTTATCGTGGTCTATTCTTTCAACGCGTTACGGATAATACGAGAGTAAGAGTGGTATTCACAGGCAATCATCGACACCGACCGTAAGCAAGTCATTTACGGGTAAATTTACATTTACTTAGGAAACTGTTAAATGGGCGCCGCCTCGGCGTCAAAGGTGCGCACCGATTATATCCATTATTTATAGCGCCAATCCTGAGTACCGTTTATATCCATTTCTTTTGTATTGCACTATCAATAAAAATGCTAAAATAGATAGTCAACTAACCTGTTTTGAAGAGAATTTAATAACGCGCGTCTCACAGAGTTCTAAATGTGGGACTATGCGAGAATGAACAGACAGCCGTTCGAGTGAATATCATTGTCTACGGAAAATAGCATTATGCAACCTAATAACAAGTGAGTGTGTAGGGACATCATAATATGCAGAACCTCTCATGTAATTTCGAATCTCGTATAGATAACTCACTGCGTAGAGAACTTGACGTATAGGAAAATTCTGTGCACATTCTAATTTGCTACCAAATAATTTCAAATACACGTATGAATAGTTGCAAATACATATTTATCAGACGTCTCGCATTGTTAATAATTGTGACCGATTATTACCGGCGCTATGTCTAATAATGAAATGTTCTCGACATACGTATTTGCTACTATCACCGGTACGATGTTAAAACATAATAACTAAATCAAAATATGCTGCTTTTTACTTCATAATGTTTGTGTTGTCTTCAGTTATCAAGTTGATAACACGAAGCATTTAAATCATAACATATAAAATGAGAAATGACCGACAAATTATGAGAAATTTGTCAACGTACAATGCACTGACAGAAATTTCAAATTGAATTTTTGAAGAATAATGTAGTTAGCTTTTTTGTATGTTAACAACAAATTAGTGACACAACTTGTGATACAATTGTATCGAATTCTTGCTTTTTCATTAATCTCGTAGAACGAACGATAATTGACGAAATTCGCAGTGAATAATGTTTCCAAATTTCCACCACCGACGTTAGTAGATAGACAGTAGACACGCACAATCGTTTTCTACCGCAGCGTTTTACGGTCTACATTTTCTTTTTAAGAGAATCAGGTTACCTCGTTGTTTTCGCAGTCGGTACAAGGATACGAGCGGTCGAAGCGCCCGCGTCGACGAGGGCGACGTTATTATAACGATCGTCCTCGGTGAGAGAGCATATCGAGGCCGTTTAATGTAAATTTTATAACTAGAAGACCAGTTCGCTTGTCCTCGCGGGCTAGAAGACGTACGGAACACGTTGCACCGGTAATCAATAAGTTCGATGAGGATACGCTTCCCTCGAAACACAGGGAAAGTACCCAAGAAGGCAGGCCAGGGAAATCCACTAGCAGAAATGCTGCACAATGTCGTCGATGACAAGCAACGGATAGCCCGAGGGCATGCACGACCAGAACGTCGCGTAATTTTCGACCGGGACAACAGATCAACCGGTGAGCGTTGGGCGGGCACCGTTTATTATACGTTGAAGAACGTCGTACATCGGCGCCGGCATTCCATGTTTTCTACCACTGTCAGCACTGTCGTCACCATAACCATTACATATCTCTGACACCTCCGAACTCGATCCACGCGTGTATCGTTTCTCAGTTATGGATACGAGTGATCGAAATTCCGGATACCGAAGTGCACCGCGTATGCAGTCTCGTATATATGTCACGTTTTCCAAGCACTGCACGAGGGTCCCGTTGCACGACGGCGTGCTTTACGCTTCGAACGACACGACGAAAACCCGAGCAAAGATGCCAGATTGAGGACGGGAACCACCGAGAGTCAGCCCCTCCATTTACGCACATTATCGCACCGTATCCGTGTGCTTCGAGCTCGGCTCAGCTTCGGATCAGTAGAGAGAGAAGGCGAAACATCAGCCCGTCGCTATTGCTCCTGATGCGTTAAAGTCTAAGCACCGCGCAGCCGCTTTCTTTTCTTCGTAATTTTCTTCGTAAATTTAATTTGGTTAAAAGATTGATATAAGAAAGAGTGTATAAGATTAACAATTGTATAAGAGATAAAAAAATTCATTTTCTCATGCGGTCTCATGTGATCGGAAGGTAATGAAACATGATTTCCCGCAACGAAAAATTTTCATTTTTTTTTTTTAATAACATTAACTTGTAATGCGAAAGATGGGAATCGAGAGTTCCAACAGTGCATCAGGAGCAAGAACGACGGGCTGATGTTTCGCCTTCTCTCTCTACTGAGCCGAAGCTGAGCCGAGCTCGGAGCACACGAATACGGTGCGATAGTATGCGTAAATGGAGGGGCTGATTCTCGGTGGCTCCCGTCCTCAATCTGGCATCTTTGAACCCGAGTCGTCAAACGAGGGGTATTGTTTAATGATCGTCGAGAGACTTCGAGGCGTCGTCCCGTGACGGCGCCACGAGTCGCCAAACCGATGCGGTGGTGCCGCGAATTTTCAAGGTGACAACCACCGTCAGAAGTGGTTCCCACCATTCGGGGATAAAGAGGATTGCTGCGTTAGCGATCGTCAGAACGACGAAAATTTTCGAATAGACTCGCGGCGCACTTTTTATCTCAACATTGTGCAGATTCGCGTCATAATGTTACGACTAGCAAAGTTCACAGAGAGAGTTAATTATTCGATGATTGTTTTCGACTGTGTACAGCTTCAGCAATCAGGTTCTGATTGTGTTAATTTTCCCAAGATGTACTTGTGGTGGTATGGGCAAGGGCAGGGATAGGACAGTGGCTTACAATTAAAGTATATGTATACTACTTGAGGCCAAGGCAGCTTCCATATGTGTCGAAAGTGTAGATGTAGATAATAGCTTTAAAGAAAGAGATATAATTTATCTATATGCTGTCTTTTTCTCGCAGCACGGTATTGGTCATGACCTTTCTCCCTTAGACTGCTTCAAATTTCAAATCGCTCATTGACATTAAGGATTTCAGATTTTCAAACTGGATTTGTGGAAGTTTCGACTGAACTATTTTTCCGAATAAAAAACATTCGAGAAGACAATTAAATTTATGGGTTAAAATGAGCATTCTATATAAATACTACAACGACTCGTCTACGAAAAGCTAGTTATTGGGATACCACGTACAATAAGAATCACTGATCCTATATGACGAATTTACTCATAACGTACTGTAAACGGATGTTGAATGTTTATTCAAATTCTCCGTTTACTTATTAAGACCATTAGACTGCAGATTTTTATGCAAAATATGACATTATCTGTTCATGTCATATCTGTTTAAAAAATGCGTTTAAGATAAACATTGTAATATGCATTCACCTTCTGATATTTTTAACACATTTATACATTACGCAGACCATTTATAATTTCTGACATTTTAGACCATTTACAATTCATTTTTTTATATGTGCATCAAATCTGCAATCTAATGATCAAAATTGTGTAAAGAAACACTCACCTTGCATGGGACGCGTGGCAGCGCTGCGTGACATTGTTTGCGTGGTTTATTAGGCTGCAGCTCGGAGTTAGGCGCTCTTGGACGGAGTCTGTAGATATGTTTCACAGAGAAAGCGACACCTCTTAAAAATACTTTCCCAGGTTTACGACGTACCACGAGCGGTGTTGTAAAAAATTCATCAAACTTATGGCTCTGTCGCCGTGGTGTAAAAACGAGGGTAAAAAATGATTTGCTGCCTTCGTCTACCGAGAGTAACGTCGTTGCGAACGTTCGTACGTCGTTACCTATTCTTGAATCCGGCGATCTCAATCCGATAACGTTTCTTCTTGCCAACGAACACAGGGAACGATTGCTATCTGTCGACGATTGGACCGCACCGCGGCAGACGGGAATGTTTAGCTTTTGCGGTCGATTATTATTGTGGACGCGGAAATAGGAGATCGGCAATCGTTTTAATTTACGCCGAAAAAGACGAGAGAAGTTGAGGCACGTGTAAGATAGAGATGACGCGTGGCCGATCGTTTTCGTCGTATGACGAGCATCAAGTGACAAATGTCTCAATATTCGACGGCAACGTTGACGGCGATGCGGGGTTGAGAACGACGCCCTTAAGTTTAGGTCGGATATTCTGCAGCTAAATAATGGTGACAGGATATCCGATGTGGGGGGTACGGGGGGTCCTTTGGGGGTGGCGTCCATGTGGGGTGGATGGTCACCTCCTTTCTTTTCTTTCTCCTGCGACCCACCTCCTCCTCCAGGACCTCCTCGTCAGGGTACCCCAGCTTTTGGTGTCCGAGAACACCCTTCCTATTTGTCGCCAAGTCTCACCTACTCCCTCCCGCACTGTACCTTGGGAGCACACGCTGTAACAAAAAAATGAAAGGAAAGGAAATAAAGTAAATCTAAGCAAAAATTTTGAATAGCGCCAAAATCATTAACTTGAAAATATAATGACGGATATCTGGGGGATATCGAAGTGATGCAAGTTTTGAACTTTGCAGATATAAAAAATTGCAATTTCGGAAACTTAATAAATAAAATGTCACATAAAATGAGGAGGAAAGGTGCAATATCAATGAGAGACCGAAAGAGAGACCCGGCAGTAAGTGAAGATCCTTAGTACGTTTTGTTGCATAGTACAGACGCAATTGAATAAATTGTTGTAACAAGTCATAGAAATATGTTACATAACAAAAATTCGAAACAAATTTGTTATATAACAATGTTTTGTTACATAATGTAAACACGCAGCTTCCATGGCTTGGGCGGGACACTTTCCATGGTTTATATGTGACATTAATAATACTTATACGAATTAATCGATCTAAAACAGGCCCGAGTTAAATACCGTTGTCATTGGATATTTCTCTACAATTGTACTACGCCGCATGACAAAGCAGAAATCAGTAAATGTCCCGTTGCATTGTTCCAACATTGTTATGTTTATCGCTAAATTAAGAGAGTTGTCAGAAATATGATACTTTTTAATAAAGAACAATTTTGTTAATAGTATTAACATCATTTTTGCTCTCAATATTTTATTAAGTGTACTGTGCTTTCAAAATTGTATAATCACATACAGTATGTATGTATAGTGTACTATTATATTTTACTCTTAGACTATTGCCCTAACGTAGAACACAATAATATCAAATTAAAGTATTTTAATGTGAACGTGTTTGGTTACTAGTTGCAATGACCAGTACATTTTTAAGCAACCTTACGATTATTACAACGCATACGATGTGAAAAGCGAAGGACAACAAGTTGGAAGTATGCACGATTGATCCATAAGAAACAAATGAGCTTAGCTCGTAGGTCAACCGAATCAAAGTCGTGATACCTGCAATATTATTCAGTATGTACGTATCCTTGGTTTTAACTTTTCCACCTTTTCACATATGACGTGTCCGTACATGAAAAAGAATAATATTAATAGACCGAAGTGCTTTTACTGTGCTGATACCGGAACTCTTTTCTGTTAAACAATGCTAAACTTGTTTTCGTGTTGTCTAGAACCATTGGATGCGTGACTACGTGACGTGTGAAATTCTGTTGTCCGTATCGAAAATTACATGATGACATACATGAAAGAGTTAGATGGCAATATAAGTTCAGACAGTGCTAAATTCTTCATAATTCCATTTGCTATCCAGCCGGTAGTTTTGTCCCGATATCGAATTTCGTGTAACTACCGTTCGGTCGCTTGAAAATCGTTCGTTCGTCTATAAATATCATGGGTCACTGCTGATTCATCGAAACACTGGCTGATTGTACAAAATCAGCGTCGAATGATATAATAACCAATTGGATTATGATAACTTTTGCGTAAAGGTTACGACAGAAACAATTAACAGATATTCAAACGCAAGTTTGGAATTTGATAAATCGACGGACGGAAAGCTTCCCGAACTGCGTACCACGTGTCACATGTGTTGTCACTTTGAACCACAGTATAATAATTTAATATTACAGATTCAAAGTGCAGAAGTGTAAGTTTGAATTGACTTTTAACTGTAACTGTGGTATAGAAGCTTTACATTGTTAACAGGATATAACGTACACGGATCACATCTATCAAGCTTAACAAAGGTGAAATTGTAACGTCTACGACGCCGACCTACATCGAGAGTTATTGACAGGCTTTTTTTCGTTGTACGTATATTCGTGACCCCGACACCTCCGTACGGTAACAGTAACCCAACAGATTTACAATCCTATCGACGGGCTAAAAGCTGTGTTAATCGATCTTTAACTGCAGCTTTTGTCAGGCTATGAGTGTAAGAAAGCAGGTTGCATTTATTTGCTCCATTATTATTTATTACTTTGAGATGTACACGAATGTGTAAAACCCAACGTAATATTAACTATCAGTCTACAACGTGTGTTATCTCATTTTCGTACGTAACAGCTATTGGCATGTTTTATGAAACAAAAATAAGTACTTAGACATTTTGGCACATTGCATACCTAGCTCGAAACTAAATTTTGTGCGATAGATCGTAAGTTAGCTTTCTTCGAGAAGCGCCCTCCCGTTATTCTCGGGCCTTGTTTAATGTTCACATGTCATGTTACTTGCGATGACGTTTGAAGGTTTTAGCTATCGTCATGAATGAGAATTTAATGTATGCTTTATCCACCCTGGGATGCTAATTGAGTTAACGCCGTGTACGCCACTCGGTATGCGAACTGAAATCTGCACCTTGAAGCTTTGCAAACGTCGCGACAGATTTCAACATCGTCGAATAACACTATAAATATGTGAAATTCACTTTTACGTGATTCTTTATTTCGCATTTTAAAGGTTGGTCTAGCTATAAGTTAAAGTAATGCCACACGATTGAAATTTTGCAAATAAATAGTTATTATCATATTAAAATTACATGGTAAATTTGAAAGAAATTGAGAAGCTTCTTTTGAAATGGTATAAATTTGAAATTAACATGTGTTCTTACAGAGTTTAGTGAAAGGACGCTACACTGCTACATTAAATTGAAGAAAAACTGAAGAAGAAACGTAAGCTATAATATAGCAAAATCAGATAAAATATACTGTATTTTGAGCACGTACGACTTTTTGCGGAGACTGTATAGCCAGAAAAACCTTAATTGTTATTTATACACCTCTTAAGCCTACAGTTACGTGTACATACAATCATGAAATGATAAATATTAACAGTGAATACATATTTTATCTCGTTAACAAATATGAAAGAGTAATTTAGATCTTATAGAATCCGATTTCTGTGATACGTTAAAAAATTCTATTCCGCTCAAATACGATGAAATTTCAAAGAAATTACATGCTTCTAAATTACGTGCAATCTCAACTTTTAAATCTGTGCCCATAATAACAAATACGTATATAACAACTCTGCAGATGTGTAACTGTAAAGCGGGCCAAGCACGTAATGTTTGTGGTAAGAAGTTATAGTACTGGATCAATACTTCTAAGACTCTTTTTTTGAACAGTCAAATATTTTAAACGCACTGCATGAGTTTATGATATTTCATCACGGTTTACGGAAGGAATTATCGTGTTCTAAGGATACTCTCCACATGCATAACTTACTACATCTCTAACTTACGACAATAAATGAAAAACGCTATTATATAAACAAGGTTACTACGATGAGACAACTAAACAAGAAAATAAATTCCGAGTCGAGATCACAAGTATTTAGTCATTCAATATTTGTATTTGCAAATCAATTTTGTTTTTGATGCATATAGAACAGCGTCCAAGGCGATCCAGTTGATTAACGCTAAGAAAATGATCGACCGATCACTCTACATTTTTCTAGATTACATCGAAATATTATAGTTGGTAATACATAAGGAATTAGGTTTATGTAAAATAAGAAATGAGAGGTATAAGTAAAGAAAAAATTGTTTAAGTAACCCGACAGCCGTGCAGGCATTAGACATGAAAATAACATTGAATTGTGTGAATATTGATAGTGGAAAAAGTTGAAGTATGCACGTAATCACATACAACTTGTTTTTCTTATACTGTTCAATTTTTCTTCTTATCTGTCTGACTGTGTTAACGTATTTGCTTCGTGGGTAGAATAATACATGTGCGAATAAAAAATGACATATGGTACAAACAAAACAGTACACAGGATATTGTGTACTATACATTAGTAGTTTGAAAATACTGTGAAATGAAACTTGGACTAGTTAAAAAATTACTGACAGTGGCGTCCGATTTCCCGTAAACAAATGATTGCCTGTTGAATCACGGAGCACAGATCAATAACTCTACTTTTCTGTCTACACTTGATAAATGAAACATTATTAATTTTTCATGATTCGAATAAGCGTCATTAGTTGCAACAATTTTTATCTGAAGGGTCTTCCTTTTATTCCTCATAGTTGAAAATACAATTAAGAAAGGTTCCGAATGATTTTGTAGCAAATTGATTATGTGTTTTATTGCAGAGTAAAGATCCGAGACGCAACGTCATTGTAATGATGTGCAATCGGGAATTGTCGTATGGCCAACCAACCAGACGTTAGAGAATGATAGATTAGAAATAAACTGTTCGATAGGTTCGTATCTGTCTTTCAGACACGCGAAAAGTGAATAGTCCGGACGAGATACGAAGGTCGACATGGGGTTAATTTAGATATACAGCATAGCATAGTTTCAGTTCACACGCACTCGTGAAAATAAATTTCTGCTTCGTGCTCCGAATCAGCACCGTGCTACGATTGTAGACGTTCTAATGTCGAAGAAAAAAAAATAGTGTCTAGTATCACGGAAGTTAGCGTAGACACAACATCGATTTTTAACTCGGTTACGTAGTATATACGTGTATTGTTCTGTATCACCTTATCTTTATAAGATACTCTATCAACAAGTTGCGGTAACAATAATTATATGAAAAACCTTGACGTGAGTAAAAGTAAAAGAAATTCGTGAGTTAGATAGTCTGTTCGCGATAACTATTAAAATAATTGAGTCTACAATTAAAACAAATTAATCCACTAACATTCCTTCGTCATTAAAACAAATAAGAAGGAAAAAACTTTATTATATTTTTATGGTGTATGTTCGTGGGAAATGTTTGATGATGATAAGAAACAAAAGTATCTCATGACGTTACGTATATCACCACAATGCGAAATATCACGCGTTGTAAAACAATCGAGATAACGAAGATTCAAGCAAGTCTCGGTAAACGCATAGTCATCGTTTATCTGTCTCAAATGGTGACCAATAATTTGTATCCATCTCGTGTCGAACGTCACCACATTTTTTATAGATATAACCAATTCGTGTCTTCCTCCCGTGTGGACAAACCACGTGAGCGGCTTTTCATCAGCGATATCGTACCAATTTACACTTTACCACAGTTTCTACCGCGGCTTTCACGATGATACAGCTATTAACTACGAGCTCCGTTGATATCGCCAACGATTCTATCTTATCTCTCGTCGAGTATTTTAGAGATCGTCACCGTTTTCTCGCAAACATCTTTTCAGATTTTTTTACAGGTGCTTCAATTAGAATTAACTTAAGTTTGTTACACGCTTAAGCAGAAAATTATAATAGTACACATGTATTTTTGTCTGTTCGTAACAAAACGATATCAGGATAGAAAGGATTGAAAGCGAACCATATTATATCACTACCACTTGCGTCCGTCGCATGAAAACTTAAAACTAATTTAGTAGACACGCGTTTCATTTCTAATTTGTAAACGATCACGTACGAAAAGTATATTCGTTATCATGAACTGAATCTGGTCAACTCACAGCTTATTATGAGCAGGCTTATATCACGATAATGAACTATGTGATCCACGAAAGATTAGAATAATTTCAAGAGACTCGATGTGAGTTCTGTAAGACTGTTATCAGCCAATAAAGTGACAAGCTGCCAGAGAACAAAATGCACGCGGTTTTGTCATCTCATTGTCAGCACAATTGATCGTCTTCTAACAGTCGCTTCGTATAAATGACTAATATCACTATAGTGGCCGTGATCCCGAGTTAATATTGCCCGATTGTACAATTATTAACCCAGAAATAGCTAGTAGATGGAACTCGTATACGCTCTGGCTAATCCCGATTCGCCTTACGATTTCGTATTTTTCCTTTTGTTTGTCTAGATTTCCACATACAAATTCCGCAAGGGAGCAGAGAGTTGACGGGGGGATACGAGCATCAGATATTTTCGTACGCCATTCAACCCATTTCCAGAGAGTTGAGAAAACAGAAACGATTCAAGATACGAATAAGGAACCAACTTAACGAGTGCACAGGGAAAGCGAAGAATGGTCAAAAGAGCAGCAGCGTTTTGGAAGACTCTCGCAAGCGTTAGAATTCATGAATCATTTTTTTCTTCCGACAGATGAATAACAATTCTTAACTTGCGCAACTTTATCGCTACTCGATTTAATACGAAACGATTAGAAGATGACGAATTTATTCATGCTTATAATATCCTTTGAGCGACATAAAATTTGATTTAAAAAGTAATATTATCTTGGTGACTATAGTCATTAAGGATATATGTCACAGATCAGATCAACATATTGATAAGAAAAACATCTAATGTTTTACCGGTTTCAACAGTGCAACAGTATTCCCTATACATATATGACGGAAGTTCATTTAGGAGACACAGCTAGTGTACGCATCATGCATACATGCATGATTAGCATATCATGATTGGCCGACTGCCTATCGTATCTAATACAATCACCGACATTTACTACATTTACTACAGTAAGGTTTATCGTATTTCTTTACCATTATCCACGACCATTTTTTGATTTTCACCTTTCCTGAAGATTTACGAACTGAACAATTGTAATTTAATAGTTTCTATCAACTTACGTGTCATCGTTTTGCAAATTAAGCTTTCGGTATGATTTCACATTTACTTTTCCTTCAATCGATGAGACGAATCTAGCATTGTTGGATGGTCGAGTTTGAATTATGACTTGCGATAACAATAGAGAAGGAATTAAAGTAAATATCAAGCGTTTAATCGGTCTAACATCGTGTCGCCTAACACGAGACCGGCAGAGACAGAATACGATGTACTAACGTTTCTCTCATACTCTCATCGATCGCGTGTTACAATGAACTCTTTTTAGCGCTTCTCAGTTCTCAGATATCGATCCTGACAAACTGTTGAGATTATCGTACACAATGATTGGTGAACGCTCTTCCAAATCTATTTAATCGAAATGCCATGTTAATGGAGAGTAGTATTCGATCAAGACCTGAGGGGTATGAACTGGTTAAAATGAAAATTGTTATTTAAAAGTAACTGATTACCTTGAAGAGCACCTGAAATCATGTGTTCGCATAGTAGATGTTTCATTTGACGTTTTCACGATTCGTCATCAAACTAACTGTACACGACACCTACAGTTTTTAATTCACACGTTGATAGTCGCAGGAAACACTGTTTAAAATAACGGTTCAAGAAGGTATTTCCTTAGCACTATTCACCGATATAATAAAACCGTTTTCCGTTCAATGGTCAGAAATATCTTGTGGGGTTTCCCACTCGAACAGTTTGCTTGACCTGAGTTGCGTTCGCGACACAGCGAATTGATCACACTAGGTCAAGGTTAGTAGAAATCCTTCGCAGCGATCGACCACCTTCGCCTAAGTGATTCAAGGTGTCGAGAGCGACCACCAAATCACGACCACTTTCGAAACCACGTTGCTCGGAAACATTCTTTCGATTAATCCCTGTAATAATCTTAACGTTTTTTAGTGTCAATAAGGTTAAACAACGCACTTAGTCCAGGCGCCAAGTATACAACGGAGAACTACTAAAGTTCAGTGACCAAAACAAAATTCAGAAGGTACTGCGTTCGAATGAAATTCCTGAAGGGAAACAACGAATTATTTCTCACTGGTTCACTAACAACGATCGATCCGCAGGCTACGAGGTTTATCGATGTTCTCGCGAGTGCAAGTTCGAACTTAGAAATTGTAGAAACTGATTTCAAACGACAGGCACTGAATATCACGATACAAGTACTCGATCTTTCTTTTTGTATTGTTATTTTTCAACAAGTAAGTATATCAGAGTCGCGACGCGGCGATCCTCACGGATTTCATGTTCGTACGAAAAACGTTCACTGATCGTAAAGGCCGTCCGGTCGGAAGCTTACGCCATTCTCGACTGACGGATAAAACCGCGGGGCGGCATTTCTCCGCATCCGTGCGCGCCTCGATCGAGGAAAAAACGGGAGGGAGAACCATACTTACGCGCGCAAGGAGTAGAACGCGAAAATTCTCGTGACACGCAACCGTTTTAACTGAAACGCTATAGTATAATTTTTTCTTTTCCTTGGGCCTATAATATGTCACATCGAGAAGTATTGGTTTTCTCATAATATTTTTTTATTGTACGCACGAAATGAGAATATCGGGCATCATTCAGCATTTAGCTAAAAGTAACTCACAATACTTGTGGAGCCATTTCTAACTAAATAGGATAGGCTGATGGTAGTACTAGTGACATTTTGCAAATGCCAAATGCCAGTCATGACATTTTCAAATACTTTTGTCCTAAATTGTTACGATATGTCACGTTCTATCGATAACTATTCACCAATTAATCTTCTTATGACGGACGAAAGAGATGAAAAAACTGATTTGTCAGATTTGTGTTGATGATCATGCGTGCGTTTCTTATATTCATTCACTGTGTGACATAATGGCAACATCTTTAACATAGAAACGGTAGGTTAATGTTTTTAGATTGTCTTCTGATTATTAAGTAACATAAATTGCAGCATTGCCGTACATTTTGTCTTTTAATAAGGTTGCAGTTAATCCATACTTTCGGGACTCTATTTCTGCTCGAATTTTAGACTCTTACAATAATTGTTCACGCAAAACTTAATCGATAAAGTGTAACGTCGATGAGTTAGTTATTATGAATAACAATAATTTTATCAAAATACAAATCGAGATCAAGACAATCTTAGTTGTCAAGCTGCATTAACCAGTCGATGAAAAAAATGTACGATTCCAGTTAAAAAAGCCGAGGTAATAGAATTCTTTAAACTGAGCAACTTTGGTTAATAAAGTTCTTCCCGTGTATCCCCGAAAATGACGGAAATATTCAACTGCTAAAAGTTACTGGTCTCCCTTGTATACGTGCCGATACTGTTTATTACGCGGTAACGATAGTAGACGTGTTATAAACGTTAACGGGCTAAGTAGAACGGAGTAGTAAGTTGTCTGACACGTATATTTTCATAGAAGAATAACATAAACTCAACTAACGAAGAAATCTTAAAAAAGAAAAAGGAGCTCTCAGCCAAGAAGATGACTACGTAAATTCTTTTTATTTAATCTTAACGCTATGTTTACATCTATTTGACGTCATACGGTACTTTTTACATCCCAATGCAAACTTTAGAAGATGAAACCGTGATCTCATTCCTCTTATCTATACCACTGGTCGCGGTATGAATCAGCCAGGATTGGTATAAGAAAATATGCATAATTAACTTAATGATTACACTTTATAATTCGAATATGTGAGTAGCAGTAAAAATCCCTTGTTTCTTCTCATTTGTTTGAATTATTTTAAGAAATTAGAGGAATTAATTTACTACACGAAGTATAAAAAAAAGTATAAGAACAGTTGCAATTAGCCGAAGTCACGAACAAAAAAATCGGAACTAGCGGGATTGAACCACATAAAAGAATCCGCGAATGAGTTTAAAATCTACGGAGAATCATGCAGAAAGTCGCGAGAATTGATTAGCACCGCACAGAAGCATCCGCGACGAATCGAGGATCTATACTTACATTAGGAAAAGCGTAAGGAGAAGCCATGAATCGATTAGTTCTCCGCAAAAGAATTCACAATCGAGCTCCGGATCTTCTTAAAAACATGGCAACTCAATTAGTTTAAAAGAATTTTCGAATTGTTTTTTTAAATCAGTACTTGCAGGGCTAACTTGAGAGACGTGCTATCTGCGTAAAATTTAAATCGAACATCCTGAAAACCGTAATCGCATCAACAACTGATTGATCACTAGCGTATCTGTTTACGTCACTTTTACACGATAACACATTCCTGCTGTTAAACGGTTAATAAAACCGGTGACAGGCCTAGATACGTATCCATTGTGCAAGCTCGCATAATGGACGGCTTCTCTACCCTTTTAGACGTTCATAATACGCACCACGGCCTTGCGAGATGACACGGTCTCTCTGTGACACGAGAGATAACGTAATCGTCAACGCGGCCGAAGCGGACGCTATTCTAACGACGCGATTCACTGGCAAATTGTCCCTTAATTCCCGTGCTAATTGTCCCAGGAAACGACATGGGATCGACTGGTCGATCGCCAGTATAATCAGTGAAAAACAGCTAGTGAAATCATGCAATCAACGCGAATCTTGCTTATGTCGTGATTATTATTGAAACAACAGATTTGACAAATAGTACCGTTAAGAAACTAACTTTTCAATACCAATAGTAAAATCTGTATCATAATGTTTAAACGATAAAAAAATTCAAAGTAAAATAATAATATTTTTTATAGTTTCCGTTTACGTTTCTCATCTTATAATTGAATGGACGACATTCACTGTTGTTACAATCATTGCGCGTGCGTGTGAGCATTAGTAATGCGAAGATTCGGTATAATGTACGCACGTCGCACAGGTAGATCAGTCAGTAAGAATCAGAGATAGATAGAGTGTGGTCGTTAAGAGTCACGGCGAGATATAGCGAGCGAGAGAGTAATCAGATCAATCCTTTGGAACAATAGCATTAAACCTTAATTTAGTGTACTAATATTATAATAATAAATTCATATTGTTAACGCCCTTAACGAAACTTTAACATTGTGAGGTCCATTTCATACATGTAACTACTAAATATTATACTACGATTAAAAGTTTCTTCCACTGATTATACACGAAATACCTGTTTAATCATCACCGGATCTTGTCGAAATGCCACCCCTGAAATGCTGTTGAACAATGATTGCTTGTTTCGCGGATACGAATCTGAATGAATCTGGTCGATATTCACGATATTCGTTTCGGTTGTAAACTCTGATTACCCTCACCTATGTATGCCTAAACGTTTTCGTTGTATGCCTCACGTTTAGGTGGAAATTGGGATGAAACCTACATAGATACACACACGTTATGGGGCAATACGGATTGTCTTATTGCAACGGACATTGTGTTTCTGAATGCGCTGCGTTTCCAAGTACTGATTATTGGCACCTAGCTTCTAGTTCCAGTATCATTCAATATTTGTTTTTCATATCCCTGGCTTATGTTCTTCGTTTGTTGTGTTATTAGTTGAAAGATTTACAGAAAAATTGACATGTGTTGCAATCGAATTTTGGGAGAAAGGAGAAAAAGTAGTATTAGAAATCAGATGAAGTATGTGAATGTAATAGCGGGGCAAAAGTAAAGCTGTCTTCTTCTTTTTTTACCATCTCTGCTATTACTAGAGTGGATTGTACCTATCGAAAAGAGAATGCCATTTCATTTATTTTAGGAAATAACTACTGTGTCCAGGAAATATTACAATAAAATTAAAAAAAAAAGAAGAAAAAACAAATGATACTTTAGACGACTCATACGACTTGTTTACAAAAGCAGATAGAAAATTGAAATTGTGTATGATCAGCTACGTTCTTTAAGGGTTTATTCCGAAAGTAGATAACTTTATCTTTTCGGAAAATATTATTCCTTATTAACGTATTTCTTTAGCGAGAAAAAGAATGAAAGAAGAGTGCGTAATCGAGACCAATCTGATGTAAATTTGCTACAATGGTTAAATGTCAACGTCGATGACACGACGACGAAGCACCATCGTCGTTTCGTAGACGGGCAACTCCCTTGACGGTGACCAAAAGGGTAGGGCTGGAGATAGAAAAGGGTGCGCCGAGTTATCATAGATACTGTCCCATTTACCGTAGTTCGCGTTTATTCGATCTAAGCATGACTTAAACTCGTGTCGTTCTATATTAGATCCTATCACCGCGTTCATAAGGGAATTGGATTAAAATGGTAAATCCAAAAAAAGATTTATTAACCATTATAGATTATTTAAATTGATCATATAAGATGGTGAAATTATATAAATTTCGGACGGAATAATTCATTCTAATACTTATAAACAGTGATTAGACTGTAATAGAATTACAGTGGAGTTGTCTTCATCTCTTAACTAGCTATCTAATTTCTTATTAAGCTCTATTTAATTTGACTGATTTTTAACGAAGCGCAGCACATACTGCACAATTTTATCTATAAAAAAAAATCTAATTGAAAAACTTGATTCAATAAGCTTCCTGCTTGAGAGTTTCACTCGCAGGTCGACACCAGATTCGTTAGATAGACATAGATGTTTTTTTAATCAACCCGAACGCGTAAGATTAATAGTACACGTAAAGTTCGAAACGAGCACACGGCTGTCTGATTTAAATCGATGTTTACTACTGTACAGAACGAAAGAACGCAGCCTCGTTCGGATAGCTCGCTCGCACGCACGCAAAACCTTCTAAACGTCGCACCCTGCCGTAAATTCTCTTATTTTCCACTAATCATTTATTGTGCATTTGCTGTAAATTTTCGTATTAATCATGAATTTGACCCGTAAATAGAGTAGGCAGGGCGACAAGGCATGGCGAATGTTTACAGAATGATAAGATATACACATTTGAACAAAATACATACAGTGCCTGACCAAAGTATTTAAACACCTTCTAAAACGAAATAATTTCGTTTTGACCCCTTGACTCAGGGTTGCAGACATGTAAGTAAATTAAATGTATAATGCAATTGAACACCAATTAGCAATAAACGTTTGGTTTCTTATTCCAACGTGAGTAATGTTTCTTCTTGGGCCAGACTCGAGTTTCTTCAATATGACAGTGCGTATTTTATTTTGGCCAGATATTCTTTGCGATATTTGTGAAGTATCGTCGGGAGCGCGATATATTCACCGATAAGATAAGTTACCTCGAAGGGAGTATAGAGCGATAAGAAACCACAAGACTATTATGTACATATTGAGCGATTTTATAACTATAACATCGCGAACGACGCGATAGATGTACGCGTAACGATGTGATGTCTATTTCTGATATACATAACTGGATAAGAGTTATCGATGCATTGTAGTACATACATGTGTAGAATTAAGTTTCGTTTATAGAACTTTTTAACACACGTAAAATAAAATTTTAATAAGACATACGAATTTTTGTCTGAACGGAAGTAGCTAGCAAACCATTTTGTACATTTAATTAGTCCATGTAATCAAGTTCTATTTTTTCGTGATAAAATACATTAATATACTTGGTAAAATATAAATGTCAAGGAGAATGAGCAATATTTAAATGCTTGTGAAAATGTAAATGTGGTGAGCAGATGAGCTAGTAAACGTACATATACTTATTGTTAGTGTTGAATGCAAAGAAGAAGCGTGGGTAACGGAAGCACTCACTAGGTTCTTTTGATTCATCAAATTTCTTGGTTTCCATGAATGTACTTGCCAGATGAGGAATTTCTAAGAAAGCATCTTCTTAATGGCGGCATAAAAACCGGCTCGATTCGGCTTACATTTATGCGCTCCGTCAGCGTTCAACGGTACGATACATCGGAACCGGTGCATGTTTTGCAACGTGTGATTTGTATTCAAATTAAAGATCGACCTCGCGTCAACCAAGTGTCGCGTTTCGTGGCGAAATCTCGCATGTACCAGCTCTTAGGAGAGCGTAAATAAATGATAGCAACACTTTATCAGTAGTGATTAAATAGCATTAGCTTCAGTTATATCTGATGAATACAGCAGCGTGTTCGTCTGAGATTATTTCAATTAGCAAAGTAAAAAGAGTTGGTAATTAGTAATAGTAGATATCGCGTGTGTTAAATTTTTTCTACTTGGTAGCTTTATCAATTATTACTCTAGAATTTAATTTTCATGCCAGAAGCTTAATGCCAGATTACGAAGAATCGGCATTCCAGGAATGATTATTCTACTTCTAACTCGAACAC